TGTTTAACAGGAAGCTATCACACAAACAGAACAGAAGAAGAGAATTAATTGATGATTTGATTGTTCTGGGTGGGAATTCCAGCTTAGGCTTAAATCATCAAAGATTAGATTGACATCATATTTTTTATGTATATTTACATTGAGTAGAAAGCACGTTCTTTGAAGCTTGTTTTCAACAAAATTATTCACAGACACAATATGAAATTGAAAGCACAACGATCACACTAACGCCGTGTTTGGATAGAAAATAGTAAAGGGAAGGGAAGGGAGGGGGATGGGGGAAAATAAAAGGAAATGGAGGGGGAGGAAAAGAAAGGGAAGGGAAGAAAATGAAAGGAAATGATTTGTGTTAATTTTGTTTGGATAAATAAAAATGAGCAAGGGGAAGGGAAGGGAAGGATTGTATTATTTTATGTTTGGATAATTAAGGTAAAAGGAAGGGAAGGAAGGGAAGGATTTAAATTAATTTTAAATTTACAAATTTACCTTTTAAACTTGTAATGGGGTTGCTTATCCCTTTTTACTTGCTGTCAATTTGTTCAATTCATTAAATCATTCCATTATCCACCGAAACCAAGCACAAGAAAAGCCCAGTACCTTACCATATGTTTTTTTTTTTGGGTCATAATATGACTTTGGATTAAAAAATTGATAAATGCAAATTAGATGGAAAAAATTATTGATTAAAAAAACATAAAATTAAAAATTTAACAAATAAATATTAAATAAAACAATCAGTAAAAAAATGATTTTAAAAATAAAAAACAAATAATTTTATTACAATATAGTCTCAATTATATTAATAAACAATAAAATAAAATAACTAATAAAAATCAAACCCTAAAAAATTATTCAAACATAAATTAAAAATAGTCGAAACCGGTGAGAGAATGATGAAAGCTCAAAAATAATCAAAATTGATGTTGAGCAGGTATATCCTTACCTTGAATACTGGCTGCTGATGCTGATAACTAAGGTGGAAGAAGAACCAGAAGGTGTTAAATAATATGGGTAAAGAGGATATTATGGTAATTTTTGTTGGCAAAATCTAAACCTTCGCCAAATCCGTCCCAAACCCCCCAAATTGGGGGGATTGGAAATCTGCAGTTGCAAGGGGTTGTCGAGGGGATCCAAACCTCCTCCATCTCCTTCCCCTTCTTGCTCTTTGCTTATCCAAACATAAGGAAGGAGACAGCCTCCCCTCCCTCTCCCTCAATTACCATCCGTCCCCTTCACTCCCCATCCCTCTCCGTTGGTCTCCCTCAATCCAAACAGGGTGTAAAATCCACAGAAGGGTAGAAACTAGAAAGTAGAAAGCACATCCTTTGAAGCCTCGCGAAATTAGGAAGACTGAATCCGCTTCCTGATCCATTGAAAAAAAGAAAAATTCATTAGTTGAAAATTCTTCAATTTGTAGGAAATGAATGCTATAACAAAGATTTGCAGAGAGTCACACCTAGATTGTAAAAAAAAAAAAAATCATTACTTAAAAATCAACTGAATATCAAAGACTTCAAAGAAGGGTAAATTAAGCAGTACTATACATTTTCAAAAATAATCAACAAATTTGATAAGAAAATATGAAAGTCCTTATAAAAAGGGTAAATTTGATAACAAAATATCAAAGCTCGTTCCATTATGCAATATGCAGAATTGAAGCTTGCCTAGACACATCATTCATGAATAAATTAAACAGACAAACAGTTCAAGCTCGTTTGCTACTTTTTCAAGACACAAGAAATCAAAAAGATACATGCAACTGAAAAGAAGAAGAAGAAGAATTGAATTTAACCTGCTTGTGGAATGAGTCTTGAGCTAATTCATGAAAATTGAGAACATATCTAGACAGCAGTAGACTGAAATGCTTAAATACACTAATTGATGTAGTAGTAACAAAATTCAGACAGATCCTCAATCTTCTGGATAATCCTCCCATTCTGGCGGTTCTGACTCCCATAGTGTATAATCCTCCCATTCTGACTGTTCTGACTCGGATAATGTAGAATCCTCAAATTCAAGCATGGGGCAAAGTACATCCTTTGCATTGGGATGGTCCCACTCCAACGATTCCCACCATTCTCGTGGAATTGCCTTGATTTGTTTGAGGGAAGGAGGATGAGATGGTTGGGCCTTAATAGACAGGGGAAGATAAACAGGGATCCTCTGTAGGCCCTCGCAACCCCAAATTTCAATATATTCAAGAGAATCACGTACCTCCGCAACAATGGTAGTGGTATTGGACCTGAGTTAGGACTGTTAATCTCTGTGCGTTGCACTTCGAACCCCACGGAACCCCTTTCCCTCCTCTCTCAATTAACTTTATAAATAATTACAAATTGTTCAAAAAAAAAAAAAGAATCATGTACTGTTGACGACCACTTAAAAAATGAATTAGTGTGAAAATATTAAAGAAAAGGGAGTCGCCACTCGTCCAAATTATAAGGTGGGACAAGTCACCTAAAACAAGTCTACGCAAAGATCGAGGTTCGAGGGTTTGCTTCATCCGAGGCTCCTTAAGGATTGGAAATCGACAATGTGTGAATCCATAGCAATTATTGAAGCACTAAATCATGCAAAATTATGAGATGATTTCTAACATTATTCTGACTTTGTTTATTTTTCTTTGAACGCCTTAAGATTTCCATAGACTCCAAGGGCTATAGAAAAGACACTTACAAGCAGTCAACATGCATTACAAAGATGGTCATTCATTATAAAGTAGAAGCCTAGTACATCACACTAAGTACATCAACATGGTAGCATTCAAGTCCCCAGTAAAATCTGGCTCCTAGATCTTTCAAACTACAATTGTTTAATAAGAAGTTCCATTCTTTTCCTTGATGAATCCCTTGATTGCTGGAGCAACATGAAGTGCGATGTGGCTGAGCTTTTGATCTTAAGGTTGCTCTTGGTTCTTGTCCTTCTAAGTTTGCCCCCTGGATTTGGCAATTGTCCATGACGGAGAAAATGCTTGCAATTGAAGATCTCTTGAATCCTTTGTTGGTCAAAGCTTTCTCCATGGATGAATATTTCAAAAGGTGTCTTGATTGACGAAGAATCACATTTGACCATGTATGAATCCATATTTCAATTGTTGAAGGCAGAGAATCAAACAAGATTATGGGAGTGTAAGGAAAGAAGTAAACATGGATGCCAAACAATAGATAAAGGATGAAGGAACATGAATATGCTCTAAAGTGATAATGTGTGTGTGGTTGTATCCTAAAGCATGCATTTTTGGGAATGCAAGAAAAGAAATAAACATGGATGGGAAATGAGAGATAAAGGATGCAAGAATATAAATATGCTGACAAGTGGTAATGCGTGTGAAATTGTATCCTAGAACATGAATTTTCCTTCATTAAGTATGCCAAGCAAATTTCAAAAGAGAAGCTGGTGATTCACTGTTGCAAACACTAAATTGGCATTCATGGGAAATATCATTTGAAAAGAAAGCAAATGCCATGAAGCTTGAAGAAAAAGTGAATGGTGTGATGCTCGGAGATAATGACAATGTGATGCTCCAAAATCATGTGCTCAAATTATTTTGATGTCTAGAAGATGGATTTTTCCTAAATTTATCTTTGAAGAACCTCTTTTTTTTTTCTTTTTTTTTCTTTTTTTTCCTTTTTTTTTTTCAAAAATGTGAAATGCAATGCAAAATGCATGTGAATTAAATTTCCATTTTCATTTTATGCACTTGTTTTTGAACTATGAAATGGAAATAGTGATGGTTGAAATGAAATATGTGATAAAAAGTGAGATGTGAAATGAACATGGGAGAAATTTTCATTTTCATGCCCCATTTTTTTTGTTTTTTCGAAATGTAAAAAGATGAAATATGAGAGGAAAACTAGCACTATGGATAAAATTTCATTTTTTTTTCATTTTCACATTTTTATTTTTTTATTTTGGTTAAATACCCTTTTTGGTCCCTCTACTATAGGAAAAAGCCCCTTTTTAGTCCCTGTACCGAAAAAATCCCCTTTTTGGTCCTTACTGTTCACAAATCCGGCCC